GAGAAGAGGTTTATTTTGGCTCATATTTCAGTACCTGCTTGGCTGGATCCCAAGAAAAAAATGCTTGATTTTTGAGTGCTGACTTTGTATCTAGCTACACTACTGAATTTGGTTATTAAACCTGGAAGTCTTTTGGTGGGGTTTTGGGATCTTCTATGTACAGTATTATGTCATCCACAAATAATGATAATTTAACTTCTTCCTTTCATATTCTTATTCTCTTTATTTCTTTCTCTTGTCTGATTACTCTGGCTAGTGTTTCCAGAACTATATTGAATAAGAATGGTAACAGTGGACATCCTTGTCTTGTTCCTGATTTTAGAGTGAAAGCTTTCAGTTTTTGTCCAATTAGTATGATGCTGGCCGTTGGTTTGTCATAGATGGCTTTTATCAGATTGAGATTAAAGACCATCTATATCAATTTTCTGTAGGTTTTTTTTAAATCATGAATAGGTGTTGGACTTTCTCAAGTGCTTTTTCTGCATCTATTGAGATGATTATATTGTTTTTGTCTTTGGCTCTGTTAACATGGTGTATTACATTTATTGATTTGTGTATATTGAACCATCTCTGCATTACTGGGATGAACCTACTTGATCCTGGTGTAAAACCTTCTTGATTTGTTGCATGCTGTTTGCCAGTATCTTATTGAGGATTTTTGCATCTGTATTCATTAGGGAGGTTGGCCTGTAATTCTCTTTTTTCGTTGAATTTTTCTCTGGTTTTGTTATCAGGGTAATGCTTGCTTTCAGGAATGAATTTGGGAGTATTGCTTCTCTTTCAATTTCATTAAAGAGTTTGAGAAGAAGAGGCATTAGGTATTCTCTAAATTTCATGTAGAATTCACCACTGAATCCATCAGGTCCTGAGATTTTCTTTGTTAGTAGATTTTTAATTACAACTTCAATTTTTTTACTGATATTGACTTATTTAGAATTTTTATATCTTCTTGACTCAACTTTGATAATTCATATGCATCTAGGAATCTATCCATTTCTTCTGTGTTTTCCATCTTATTAGAATACAGGTTCTCAAAGTAGATATTGATGATCTTCTGGATTTCTGTAGGATCTGTTGTGATTTCACCCTTTTCACTCCTAATTGCATGAATTTGAGTCTTTTCATTCTTTTTTTTGATAAGGTTAGCTAAGGGTTTGTCAATTTTATTTAATCTTTCAAAGAACCAACTCTTAGATTCATTGATTCCTTGTATTGTTTTCTTAGTCTCCATTGGATTAATTTCTGCTCTGAGTTTTATAATTTCTTCCCTTATACAAAGCTTTGGGGTTGACTTGCTCTTCTTTTTGTAGAAGTTTGAGGTTCAACATTAGGTTGTTTATTTGAGCTCTGTTTTTCTGATATAGGAATTCACCACTATAAGTTTCCCTTGTAGGACTGCTTTCATTGTGTCCCATAAGTTCTGGTATGTTGTATTGTCATTATTGTTTAATTATAGAAACTGTCTGATTTCTTCTTTAATTTCATCTGTGACCCATTGGTTTTTCCTCAGGAGGGTGTTATTTAATTTCCATGTATTTATGAAGTTCTTGTGGTTTCTTTTGCCATTGATTTCCAATTTCATTGCACTATGGTCTGATAATATGTATAGGAAAATTTCAATTCCTTTGCATTTACCTAAGCATGTTCTATGAGCTATTATGTGGTCTATTTTGGAGAATGTCCCATGTGCAGCTGATAAAAATATGTATTCCAACGTTGTGGGGTGGAATACTCTGTAAACATTTACTAAGTCCATTTGTTCAAAAGTTTGGTTCAGTTCTGACATTTCTTTATTGATTTTTTGTCGAGTTGATCTGCCTATTTGTGACAGTAGGGTATTGAGAGCCCCCATTACAATTGGATTAGTACTTATTTGACTTTTAATGTCTGTTAATATTGGTTTTATATAGTTTGGTGTGCTGGTATTTGGTGCATATATATTTATGATTGTTAGCTCTTCCACTTGGATTGTTCCCTTTACAAGGATGAAGTAAACTTCTTTGTCTCTTTTAATCAGTCTTGGCTTGAAATCCACTTTGTCTGCAAATAGAATAGTTACTCTTGCTTTTTTCCAGGTTCCTGTCACATGGAGTGTTGTTTTCTATCCTTTGACTTTCAGTCTAGGAATTTCGTTTTGAATTAAATGTGTTTCTAGTATGCAACATATTGTTGGGTCTTGCTTCTTTCTCCATTCTACCAGTCTGTTTCTTTTGACTGGTGAATTGAGACTGTTTACATTGATGGTTATGACTGATATGTATTAACTTATCCTTATCATATTATTTTTCTGTTGTTGGTTCCCCTTTGTTTCCCCTCTGTTTAATTGCCTGCCTTGCCTGGTAATTTCATTCTGTTGGGGTTCATGGAGTTGTACTCCTGGTTATCTCTTTCTAGAATGTCCGTCAGAACATTTTGGAGTGCTGGTTTGGTGGTCATGAATTCCTTCAGGTGTTCTTTGTAATAGAAGTATCTTATTTCTCCATCAATTTTGAAAAATGGTTTTGCAAGGTACATCAATCTGGGCTGGAGGTTGTTTCCCTTTAGGGCTTGAAATACTTCACTCCAAGCTTTCTTTGACTTGAGGGTTTGTATTGAGATGTCTGCTTTGATATGATGGGTTTTCCTTTATAGGTGATTTATTTCTTTTCTCTAACAGCTTTTAATATTCTGTCCTTGTGTTGATTTTCTGGAATCTTGACTATTACATGCTTTGGAGTAGAATTTTTTTGATCAGGGCTAATTGGAGTTCTATATGCCTCATTTATCTGTATGTCAAATTCTTTTTCTCTGTTTGATAAGTTTTCTGCTATTACTTCTGTGAATAGGTTTTTTATGTCATTTGTGCTATCTCCTGCTTTTTCATTGACTCTGATCAATCTTATATTATTCTTCTTTGCATCATCTAGCAGCTGTTGGATTGGTTTTTCATGCTCTCTTGCTATTTTTAAGAAATTTTTCTTTTCATGATTACTAATCACAATCCTGTCTCCTAGATCTGATATTCTTTCCCCATATTGACTCATACTGCTGTGTATACTTTAATTGGAATTTTAAATCTTCTGGACATCTGTTTGAATCCATTTAATGGATTCCAGTTCTTTCCTCTGTTGGGCATTCATGATTTTCATCATTTTCTTAAGCTCCTCTATTATTGTTATTTGTATCTGCTCTAGAGTCACTAATCATAATGACCATTATGGTCATTATCTCTGTATTTATCTGAGAAACTATTTCTGATTTGTTTTTTTTTTTTTAGATCCTCATTTATCTTCTTTGTTACTTCTGCTATTACCACTTCAGAGAGTCCAGATGGGTGGGTTTTGAATTGTTCCACCTCATTGACCCCTGGGTTTGCCTGTGGTGAGCTGGAAGTCTGGGATGGTTATATCTTTTTTAAATGTCTTCTCCTTTTCTATTGTTTAGTCTGGGTTGATGCTTGTAAATTACTTATGGCAAGTAGGTTTATTGATATTGTTTAGAACTCTTAGGAGATGACTTCTTTTCAGAGATGTCTTGCATGTGTAGCTGGCTTTTGAGTTCTGAGTTTTGAGTCTGTCGTAAGATCTTATCTCTTCAATTTAGTGGAGATGAGAATTTGCTGCCTATTTGGGCTAGCCCCTGGTTCTTTGACACTGGCCTATAGTATTGTTTATGACCCTTAGGCAATCTCAGTCTTGGCATATCAAGAAGAATAACTGATTAGAACAATTATGCCACCTTGGCTAAAGTAGTACAATCACCAATAATAATAGCATCAAACACAGCCTAGAAAATGACAAACTGTAGTAACTATTAATCTGTTACCTTTAACCATATGAACTAGATTTGTAGTTATATAACAAAATCTAAAACAAACCAGAAAATTGTATACTGTAAATATGTGATTGTATATAGTAAGTATGGTGATTTTACCTTCAGGAGAGAAAATTTAAAAGGGGTTAGGAAGAAAAATAGAGAAGTAGAATAAGAGGAAGAGTCTACAGCCACACCATCCTAAACATGCCTAATCTTTTTTTTGAGGGTACCAGGGATTGAATTCAGGTCGTTGTGCTTGCACAGCAGGTGGTAAAACCACTGAGCTAAATCACCAGCCCCAACATGCCCAATCTTGTCTGATCTTGGAAGCTAAGTAGGGTTGGGCCTGGTTAGTGCTTAGATGGGAGAAGAAGAGGAATAGATTAGAAGCAAGGGTGGAGAACAAAGGAAGATTATGTGAAGTTTGGGAAACTGGTGAAGAAGAGAGACGAGGGAAAAGAGAAGGCAGAAATAAAAACAAGAACAGACAACAATAACAGGAAAACTAGAAACAGTAAACACACTCATATAAAAACAAGAGCAAACAATCAAGAAAAAAAGGAAAACAAAACAACAGAAGAAAAAAAGAAAAGAAAAAAAAAGTTCACTTCAGGGCCTGTCTCTACTGTTATTGGTAGACAGAGTAGGCAGACAGAGCCCAGATCCATGTTGATTAATCCCAACAAGCCAGCTATAAATTTATGCTGGGAGAGTGGATAATCCTGCAAGCCTGCACCTTTAGTTCTGAAGCTCAAGGCTGGTTTCTGGCTGTGAGGCTGGAACCCATATTTTTTCAGCCTGCAATACTCTGTGTGCCGCCTGACAGCTTAAACTTGGTTCCTTGACCTCACACTGACTTGAACCTAGGTCTGCATCACCCTGATACTGGGAGCTGCTAGATAGAGCCTTCCTGCAGCTGCTCTGAGTTCTGACCTCAGTTGACTTCTCTCCAAGATGGCAACCGGCCAATAGCCCTCTCCTGGGGGACATCTGAAACTGAATAACTCACTTACAGCCTTCTGTGTGTCCACTGCTCTGTTCCACTGGTGTGTTTCTCTTTGGAGGCCTCTGGGGTCACCAGTAGTCACCGTGTGTCTGCAAGTTTGAGCTGCCCTTTCCACACAGTGACTCAGGGTTCAGGGAGAAAGCACAACTTGCCATCCCCTTCTTCTTCACTGATGTCTCGCTCTTCCTTTTCTCCATAGGCTTCAAATCTTGCTTCAGATTCTTGCTGGATCCAGAGGACCCACTTCTCTCCTTTGCTTCCTCATGTTGCTATATTCCAGTGTCTGGACACCAAATCTCAGAGACTGTTTTTATGCTGTTCACCACTCTGCCATCTTTTGTTCCCTCTCTTCCTTTTCAAGGCTAATATTCCATTAAAGGTATGTACTACAATTTGTTCAGCCATTCATTTTCCAATGCACACTCTGGCTGGCTACTCTAAAGAATCTGGTATGGACACGGGTTTAAGATGAACTTCTTTTAAAACTAATGCTTCTGAATTCCTTATGAAAGCTCTAAATCCCTGGGAGGACTTCTACTCTGAACATTTGCTTGCACCAAATGGTGAGGCTGCTTTGCAATGGCCAAGTGCCCCTGAGAGCCTTTCCTGTGGAGCTGAGGTAGGAAAAGCAAGAAGATGTAAGGATGATTCTTTACGATTCTTTTGTAAAGTAAATGTAACTACAGAGCTGGGTGTGGTGGTGCACACCTGTAATCAACCTGGAAGATTGAGGCTGGAGGATGGCAAATCCAGGCCCAGCCTGGAAACTTAGGAAGACCTTGTGTCAAAATAAAAAAATAAAAAGTCTGGGAATGTAGCTCAATGGGAAGGCCTTGGGTTCAAACTCCAGAACTGGGAAGGGGAGGAAGAGGAGGAGAAAGAGGGAGAGGAGGAGGAGGAGGAGGAGGAGGAGGAGGAGAGGAAACTATAACAGGGGTAGAGACTCTTTTCTCTATTGTGAGCAACATCAGGAATTAAGAGTTAGTAAAGTCAAAGTGGGAATTAAAAAGAAAACATTTATATCAAACATTTAAACATGATGATCATTGACTTGCTGCTCTTTTAATGCAGGACCAAGGCCTGCTCTTTGAGTATGGATTGGATCATTGGAGTTCTGCGAGAACTTTTTGTGTTAACCACACTCATAATTCATCAAGGTACTAGGAATTGAAGCTGTCTTTGCACTGAGCTACCTCCCCAGACCATCTTAAAATTTATTTTGAGATAAGGTATCACTAAATTGCCGAGTTGCCCAGGATGGGCTCATACTCAAAAATCCTCCTGCCTCAGCTTTCCAGAGTGCTGGGATTATAAGCATGCACCACCATGCCTAGCACCCACTGATAACATTTTTTCAAGTCTATGAAAAGTACTTTTCTAGGGGCTGGGGATGTAGCTTACTTTCCTAGTAAGCACAAGGAAGGGCCTGCATTCCATTTCCAGTACCACAAAACACAAACGAATAAAACCAACAACTCATTTACAGCTGGCCTTTCTAAATCTTTCCACTTAGGTAACTTTAATAGAAGGACTTTGCCTTTGTGTAGCCTTTGTTTACATACTTGTTTGAGGTTTCATGGTTATAATAAATGACATTAATGTAAATGAATTTGTGAGGAACAAACTTGGATGTTTGCAAGCAAACAACTTACATGGCTGAGGGTGCTTCTCCCTCTGCAGTGACACCCAGGGGATCAGCGGAGCATCAGAATCCCAATGCTCTTGGCCCCAGATGCCCATGACAGCGGGGCCAATGGGGGAGCAGTTTAAGTGGATGTCAGTAGTAAGCTTTGAGTAAGAGTGTAAACTTTTAACTTTCTCAAATCATAACGCTTGATTCAGGAATAAAAAGACAAAGTCACATTTAAAGGAGTAGAAAAGCCAGGTACAAAGAATCCAGTCGGCTGGTTATGGCCATTTGGGTTGCTCTCAGGGTCTGGCAGTCAGGAATAGAACTGCTTTACACATTTATGTTCCAGTAGTTGTATAAATGTACCTTCCATTCTCTTGGCTATAGATCTAGGGGTAGAATCACTGGGTCTTTTCTTTACTTTCTTTCTTTTTTTTTCTTTTCTTTTTGAGACAAGTTCTTGCCACACAGTTCAGGCTGGCCTTGAACCACTATGTAGCCCAGGCTGGCTTTGAACAGTCCTCCTGTCTCAGCCTCCAGTGTCCTGGGATTACAGATGTGCACCACTATGTCTGGCAAATTACTGAGTTTTATGGTAATTCTATGTGTAACATTTTGAAAAACTGCCAAACTGTTTTCCAGAGTGGCTGCACTATTTTTACATTCTCACCAGCAATAATTTCTCCATACCCTTACCATTTGTTACTTGCCTTTTAATTATAATTTTTTTGGTACCAGGGATCAAACTCGGGTCCTTCCACTTGTGAGGCAGGAGGCAGAACCACTGAGCTAAATCCCTGGCCCATTAATTATGATTTTGAGTGGACATGAATTGATCTCTCATTGTGGCTTTAATTTGTATTCCCTCAATGGATACTTGATAGTTTTGAGCATCTTCTCATGTGCTGTTGGCCCTTTGTGTATTTTTCTTGGAGAAATGTCTATTCAGATCTTTTGCCCATGTAAAAATTCCATTTTCTCTTTATTATCTAGTTTTGAGAATTCTTTATATGATTTAGATACAAGTCCTTTATAAGATGTCTGATTTGCCTCTATTTTCTCTCAGGCTGTGGATTGGTTTTTCATTTCCTTGGCTGCATCCTTTGAAACAGAAATCCTACTTGACAAAATCCAACTTTTCAATTTCCTTCTGTCTCTTCTACTCTTGGTGTCATAACTAAGAAGGCTTTGCCTAATCTAAGGCCACGAATTTCCTTCTATTTTTCTTCTAAAATGTTTGTAGTTTTAGCTTTTACAGTTAGATCTAGGATCCATTTGGAGTTTTTATGTCTGGGGTAAGGAGGGGGAGATCCCATCGTCTGTACAATTCTTCCCCCTTTGAACTGTCTTGGCAACCTTATTAAAAACAATCTGGTGTGGAAGTGAGAGTTCATTTCTGCATTCTCAACTCGATGCCATTTTCCTGTGTGTACCTTTAGGCCAGCACCACCGTCTTGGGTACCGCTTATGTACGACGTTTGGAAACTGGGAAGTAGGAGTCCTCCAGCTGTATTCTTTTCCAAGATTATTTTGGCTGCCCTGGGTCCCTTGCACTTTCATATACGTTTGAAAATCGGCTTGCCAATATTTGTTAAAAACAAAACAAACAAAACAAAACAACAGCTGGGATTGAGGTAGGAGATTAGGACTGAGGCAAAACCTGTCAAACAACTGGGCGAATCTGTCCAAGTCATGGAGACCCAGGGACATGAGCAGAATGCAGGAGCCAATCAGAAAAGTGTTTCTCAGGTCTTCATTTATATCTGGTGCAAAGCCAGGCAAAGTGTCTTGCTGGGACCATTTAAATTGGTACCAGGCCAAGTGAGCTTTTGATAAGACAACCATCCCCATGCCTTATATGCATGAGGGTGAAGCCAGGGCAGAGATTCCAGATTCGAAAGACCTCCTTCCCTTCTCCTCGAGGCCGCTGGGAGTCTGTTCCCCAGCCCGCGGTTGCTTTGCAGAGCAGACTTCGTTCCCACCTTCAATAAATGTCCATCACTACCTTTCCTGTGTGTCTTGTCCAGTTCTTTGCTCAGGACACCAAGAACCTGGAAAGAATTCCCCCTGGGATCCATCATCCAGGAGCAGGATTTTGAAAAGGTTTGCTTTGAAGAAGTGGATTAATTTGGGGGAATTTTGCCACATTAACAACATTAAATCTTCTGATCCATCAACATGGGTGTCTTTCTACAAATTTATCTTTAATTTCTTTTAACAATGTTCTGTAACTTTCATAGTATAAGTTTTGTATTTATTTTGTTACATTTATTCCTTCATATTTTATCCTTTTCAGTACAATAATAAATTATTTTCTCCACTTCATTTTATAGTATTCATTATTAGTAATAGTATGCAATTGATTTTTGTGTATTAATCTTGTACCCTGAGATTGGGATTAAACCCATTTATTAATCTGAGTAGTTTTTAGTGGATTCCTTAAGATTTTTCTATATGCAAGATCCTATCATCCTCAAGCAGAGACAGTTTTGCTTCTTCCTTTCCAGCCAGATGCCTTTTATGTCTTTTTCTTGCTAATTGCCCTCCTATCAGATGCATAGGACTGTCTTTATCACTCTGATCACTCCACATTTGGAATCTTGGGCTCCTGGGCGGAGTGGAACTTTCCTTTTAATAAGCTAAGGGCCCTGTCAGAGGGAGAGGTCAGTTTTCTCCTAAACTCTGCCGATCACTGCTTCACTGGAGGAGTGAGCCATAGTCAGCTTCCCTCACAGTCAAAGCAAAAGGTCTCACACCTCCCAACCCCACAGCTTCATGGCCCCTGTGGTCCCCTTGGGAGGGTGTGTTAGGTACTTTTGTCTCGTTGCTGAGACAAAAAACCCAACACCCAGAGTTAGAGGGGAAAGGGTTTATTTAGCTCACAGTTTGTAGATGTTTTGGTCCATAATCGGCTGTGTAGATGTTTTGGTCCATAATCGGCTGGCTTGAGGCTGGGATGGCAAACAAGCATCGCAGAGGAGAAACAACATGGTGTGCACAGGGTAGCAAAGGCAATGAGGAAAGTTAACAGTGTCTTCTGCCCCTTTGATCTTATTCAGGCTGCCCAGATTAGGGCGGTGCCAAACCAGTCACTCATGTGTAGTGGTTTAATAATCACACGCCCTTAATCCTAGCATCACACATTCCAGATTTAGCTACCTTTGAAAAAGACTGCCCGAGGCTTTGGGGGGACATCTAGACACAGCCAGCAGAGGGTCTCCTCGCCCTTGTTGTTAACCTGCAGATGCCTTCGTCTTCTCTTTCAATACTCTTTGCCAATTCCAGCCACTCAACAGTCTGCCCAGGACCAGGCTCCTTTTCTTTGAACACAGTACCTTCAACACCTTTTACACTTCACAGAAACATGGGTACATTCTCATTTTTAACTTGCAGGAGGGATGTAGGGTCAGAGAGATGCTGATGTAACTGAGTCTCTGTGTCAGTTAGCTTTCTGTTAGTATAACAGATACCTGAGATCATCAACTCAATATGAGATCATATTTATTTGCTACACAGATAGTACAGCTGGGGGCTGTGGGGCTGCTCCCCTCCACACACCCGAACCTGGGCAATGCCCCAGGCCACTGCCCGACCCTTGTCCTAATGCAACTACACCAGAGGCAGAGGCAGAGGCAAGGGAAACAAAGATCCCCCACCTGCCCTAGAAAACCCCAAACCAGGATGCACGTGTGCCATACCCCCGTGCATGACCTACGGTAACCTTTCTTCACCTCGAGTTCATTGACGGTACATGCATAGGGACCGCATCTCATATGTACATTATAACGGAGTGGACTGTGGGGAAGGACTTGAGCAACAGATGCGACTGACATGACTCAGCACCCTGTCAATCATGTTGTCAGTCGTGCTTTGGAAGATCCCCAGTGGGAGGCACCCCAGAACCTGGGTGCAGTGTTTTATTTTATTCTATTTTTTGGAACCGTGGATCGAACTCAGGTCCTTGCACTTGCGAGGGAGGCAGCAGAACCACTGAGCTAAATCCCCGGCTCTGGGTGCGGTGTTTTAAACCCCTGCCCCCTATACCTTCGGTGCTTGTGGCATTTTCCTTTTGCCAGCACAAGCCTGCTCACTCCTCATGCACTGTGGCTTAATAAACTTTGCTGCTCTTCCCTACAGGTTCGAGCCATGTCTGATTCATTGTTCCTTGGGCACAAGAACCCAGGAACCCGTCCTGGACCCCATCACCCGCGGTAACAATTGGGGTCACAGTTTTGGATTGATTGGCCTGTTGCTCTCGGACCTGTGGGGAGACAGGGTGTCATGGTGCAGCCTGTGGCAAAACCTCTCACCGCATTGCCAGGAGCGGAAGGGAAAGAGGGAGAGGCAGGGGCTGCAGTCTCACAGGCCCCTTCAAGGGCAAGTCCCCAAATGCTCGCCTTGGCCCTACCATCTGAAGGGTCCGGCGGCTCCCAGTGGGCGGAGCTGGGGACCCAGGCTTTCACCATGGGCCTGGGGAGACATTTAGAAGCCAAACTGTAGTGACCTCGGGAATGCTTGCGAACACACACAGGCACACAGCCTTGGTGTCTGTCTGACAGACAGCAGAAGCCCTCCAGGGCTGCACTGGGTGGGAGGAGGGGCTGTGTCCTTTCTCATTTCGCTTCCTGCACAGAATCTGCTGCTAGGCTGTAGGCAGCAGGCCCGAGCCGGCAGGATGGACCTGAGGGATGGCCTGACCCCCCAGAGGCTGGCACTTTGCCGCCTGTGAGCGGAGCGAGCCACCAGGCCCAGAGCCGCACTGCTGTGTGAGGACAGAAGAGCTGCTTTCCCCCTTCCCTATCTGGGAATCTTATATTCTCCCACTCAGCACTGGGGATTGAACCCAGGGCCTTTACACTTAGCTACATCCCTGGGCCTTTATTTTTAATTTGGAGATAGGGTGTTGCTAAGTTGGTAAGTGACCCAAGCTAGGCTCCTACCTGCAATCCTCCTGCCTCAGCCTTCCAGAGTGTGGCAAGGAATAAACAAACCAAAGGTGGGAATTTTTCTGGCATTGACCAATGTTGGGGTGAGCAGTGGGTTCCCTGCCAGATAGACTTCCGGTCGGTGTCTCTGAAGTGCTCACACAGTGCAGTTCACCCACAGCATGCTGGTTCTTCAATTCGATGTTGTGCAGTTATGGGGAGGGGTGAACACAGGGTCAGCTACACTGGCTTTCGTGCTGTCTAATGCAGAAGTTTGTCTTCTTAGCCGTTCTTTGCAGCTGTGAGGGTCACACTGCAATCTGTAGCTGGACAAAGCGGTGAACTTTCTATCCGGTTTGCACAGATAGTAATACTATCACTAGCATGTGCGTGGGCACAGTGGTTTAGAAATAGGGGAGCGTGAGCATCACTTGCATCATCACCTCATTTATTCCTTAGGTCCTGAGATGGCAACTGGGGGAGTTGCCCTCTGAGACAGTCCCTTCCACCTCAATACAGTACTTCCTCTTCGTGGCACCTTTCTACCCTCTGTGGAGTTCTGTAGGGAGAGATGTGGACTCTCTTTTTCACTGGAGTCCAGGAGAAAAACAGTTTCTGGATGTGCGAATTCAATCATGGTCTTGAATTTGGGGTGAACAGAACTTCTTGCATCGGTGGCAAAGTTCTCTCTCTGCACCATCTAACCCAGCTGCCCCTGGTACTGGTCGGGGTCTTGTCCAGGTTCTTAGTGTCCTGAACAAAGAATTGAGGAGGGCATAGAAAGGGAGCAGCAAGGTCAAAGATTTATGAAAAGTGAAAGCACACTCCACAGGTGGGGGCAGCCAGTGGGAGGCGCTCACAGCCCTGACAGGGTTTGGTGCTGGGGGTTTCAGCATTAGGGTTTGGGGTGACACTGGGGGTTGGACTGAGATTTTGGCTCTCAGCAGCTTTGCTCTGCCCCTCCATCAGGTGGTGTTTTTGACCTTGTGTGGTGATTGGAGGAACTGTCATGGTGCCCAAAGCCCATTGGGGTGGGATGTTGGAACTGCAGAGTCAGTGACATGGTAATTAGGGCTGGGTCAGCCAAGGTGGCTGAAGACCAGACTTGCTGGCTTTGAACGGGGTTACCTGGTTACTTTCTCTTACTATATTTAGACCACAGTGTCCCAGAGCCAGGTTAAAGTTTAATTCGGATCTAGCCCAGAAAGCCGGCTCCAAGGCAGGCTGTTACGTAGCTACCTCCTGCCTCACCACTGGCTGCCTAGCACTTGAAATGTGGCTAATTATAGTGAGGAACTGGATGTCTACTTTGATTTAATGGGAATTAGTTTAATTTGAAAGAGCCGTGTGTGGACAGTGGCTGCCACGTCAGACAGCACAGCTGCACAAAAACAGAATCAGACACCAAAGGCTCCAGGGGTTGGAGACCCCTCTGCTCCTGCTCAGCGCTGCCATGGAGAGGGCACCACCTGGGAAGTCTGATGGAGCAAAATTAAAGCGATCTGGGGCTGGCGTGTGACTCAGGGGGACAGTGCTTGCCTAGCACGTGTCGTGTGGGGGTCATATTCCATCCCACCACCGCAGAAGAAAGAAAGAAAGAGAATAATTAAGGTTTTGCTTTTTATCCTAAAATCGTATCTTATTAATCAAAAATTTAATATAAAAATAAAAGAATTTGGGGGCTATGGAAGTACTATATTAAGAGAAATTGTAATTGTAAGTGGTACAGTTTGGATTAATCCGTAGCTTTTTTCATGCCAGCGGGACCCTCTTATTCACGCTGAGGAAAGGAATGGAAGCCTTCACTCTGGTAAGCCAGACATCTTTGAGCTCAGTCCACCAGTGGTGCTCGGCTCTGGCAGCAAATCAGAATCACCCAGGGCCCGGTGCGCACTGAGCGCCTCCTCTACACCTGAGCTGCAGCCACAGCCCGCCTGGGTGTCTTTTCCTAAAGCACTGGCACCTGAGCTCCCTTCCCACTCATTCTGATTGATGCTAAGTGATTAGGACCGGAACCAGGCCAAACTTCCTCAGTGACTTCTGCTGATCACCCCCAGGCGATTCCAACATGCAGCCATGGGGGGGCACCGAAGACCTGGAGGGCGAAGGTCACCCTCATCTGCCCCTGGTGTTCATTCAGGTGAGGCAGACTCTCAGACCCACGGCTAAGTGCAAGAGCTTCCTGAGTTTAATTTTACCATCTTGTGTGTGAGTGCGTGTGTGTGTGTGTGTGTGTGTGTGTGTGTGTGTGTGTGGCAGCAATCTTTTTGCTTAACACAGGAAGAAATTCACAAATCTAAAAAAAATGAGATGCCAGATTTAATGGTATTATGGAAAGGAACGAATTCAGGGAGCTAATCAGCAGTGTGGGCATTTTAATGGATGTTTTCAAAATAATTGCTGAAATCCCATGATTTTCTCAAGATTCTTCCTCTGCTGGAAGTATGGGTGAGGGTGGCTTTCGACGTGGAGAGCATTTATTTCTCCAGCGTCCCTCCCCTCCTCAGCACGCTGAGCTGAGCTTTCTTTCACACGAGGGGTTAGAAGCCCGCGGGTTCCAGGGTTCGGACTACAGCTTGAATTCCATGGGAGAGCACCGGGCGGGTGGGGCGGGGTGAGAAGCTGAACACTGAAACGTGGCTTTTTTCGAAAGGTCTGAGAGGAGAGTTAACGAATGGAGCCTGGAGCGGGCAAGGTGCTGCGTGGTGCTGATAGGTCACAGCTGCCCACCTAGCCGTGAAGTTGATACATCTGGGCCCCATGTTTGTAGCTGTTTTCCCATCCTAGACTTTGCTGCCAGCAAGGTCCGGGAGTCTGCCAGGAACCAGTGTTTAGGATCAGCGTAAGTGAGACGACACGGGGTCTTCTCCGCCTTCACCCCAACTCCTCGCGTGCCAGCCTTGTACAAAGTACACAAACCCCTGAGCCTACCCCTCGCGTCGTGGTCATCGTGGGCGCTGGAGCGCGCAGGGTGGGACTGCAGTTGGCTTCTGCATCCCTCTGTACTGGCCGAGAAACAGGCTTACGGAGAGGAAGTATTTTTCCCAACACCAAAATACCAAGAGCAGGAGGCGGAAAGGAGCCCAGGCCTCCACTGTGCCTCAGTGGCTGAAAGGAAGCGGGTGGCCGACCCTTCAGGCCGCCTTCCGACGTCCCGGAGTGCTACCGCTGAGGCAGCCAGGCCCTGGATCGCCCCTCAGGCCTTGGGAGGTGGCAGTGACCCCAACAGGTGAAGCTTCCTGCCCCAGTGTCATTGTAGAGGGAAGAGCCAACTGACAAGGTAAGTACAGTACAATTGCTTTCTTTTTTTCTTTTGAAATAGGAGCTTGCTCTGTTGCCTGTGTTGTCCAAGCTGGACTTGCACACACAATTCTCCTGCCTCAGCCTCCCAAATGGCTGGGACTACAGGCGCATGCGGCCATGCCTGGCGACGTAACAGTGAGAAGGAAAGAGCAGACAAGGTGGATGAGAACTATTGGGCAGAGGCAGGCACCGCAGTGCACACTTGTAATCTTAGCTACCAAGGGGCTGCAGGGCAGCCTGGACTGTGTAGCAAGATTCTGTCTCAAAACGAAAAGTACAAAGGGCTGGATACATGGCCCAATGGGACGTGTGTGGGGCTTGGGTTCAGTCCTCAGTCCTGAAAAACAATATGGCTGCCATGCTCCCTTGTGGATGGTTGGCCCTCATGTGAGTGCACTTCCTTTCCTACTTTTCTTGGCCCAAACTCGCTCTGCAGAGCCTGTTTCTTTTCCTACCTTTAATAAAACTTTGCCTCTGTTAAAAAAATTAAAATAAAATAAATAGAATAAAATGCTGGTAAGAATATGGAGAACACAGAGTTCTTATGCAGTGGTAGTGGGAATATAAATTAGTACAGCCATTCTGGTAAATGGTATGGAAGTTTCTCAACAGAGTAGAAATAGAACTAATATATGATCCAGTTACCCTACTTCTGGACCTACATCCAAAGGAAATGAAATCAGCACACCAGAGAGCTAGCTGCACACCATGGCTACTGCTGTGATTTTCACAATAGCCAACATGCAGGATCAGCCAAGACGTCCAGGGCCAGATGAATGTACAAGGAAAATGGGGTAATTTTATAGAACGGAGTACTATTCATCCATAAAAAGAACAAAATCCTGTCATTTGTAGCGAAATGGATGGAACTGGAGACATTGTGTTATGTGAAATAATCCAGGTACTGAAAGACAACTACTGCATGTCCTCTTTCACATGTGAGAGCTTAAAAAAGTTAACCCAGCTGGGCGTGTAGTGCACGGCTGTAATACTAGCACTCGGGAGGCTGAGGCAGGAGGATAGCCGCAAGTTCAAGGCCAGCATGGGCTACACAGCGAGACCCTGAGAAAACCAAAAAACACAAACAACCCAAAACCACAATGACAAAAAGTACAACCCAAAGGTAGAACAGTGATCACTAGTGAGGAATGAGTGAGCAGGGAGAAGGAGGGTGGAGAGAGAGCAACCAAACACAGACAGAAGTAAGTCCAGCTTGCAGAGCGCAGTTCACAGGAACGTGTCATGTGTATGATAATGTATCGTGCAAAATAAACACTGTGTATGTACGTGACACATAACCGTACAGAGGCGGCTAATATATAGATTATAGGCAGTGCTGGCCTTGAGCCCAGGACCTTGTGCATATATTTTATGTATTTTACCAAGAAGGTGAGGATCTTGAAGTTTCTAAAGATGAAGGAATGATATGGAACGGAAATAGTTATCCTGACTTCATCAGGGCATGCCGCACACATATTACATGTTAGTCAAAAGTGGAAAAGGAAAGGTAGCAGGGTGTGGATGTACCTTGCAGGTCTGGCCAGCGAGCTTTGCTAATGAGCTGCGCATAGGGTGGTGAGAGGGGCCGTGATGGTCGAAGGTCTTTGGTCTGAGGGACTAGAAGGATGCTGTTGCCCTCAGCTGAGATGGGAAGACTGCAAAGGGCTGGAGAAACCCAAGGCACTCAACTGGGTGTGGAGTTCAGGGCAAAGGTTCCTTTTTTCTCCAGACAGAATCTCGCCATGTAATCCAGGCTGGCCTTGAACTTGGGATCTTCCCTTCCCCCTCCTGAATGCTGGGAATTCAGATGCACCCTACCACACCCAGCTTGAAAGGTTCCTGATGAAGACAAGAATTTGGGAGGCATCACCATACACACACACACACATATACACGCTCATATTCAGAGCCACAGGACTAGACGAGGGTTGCTCAGCACTGAGCACAGGTGTGAATGAGAAAAAGCCCAAAGATGGAGCCTGGGAGCACACTGCCCTGGAAGTCAAGGGCCAGAGAAGAGCCTGAGAAGGGTTTCAGGGTGGGAGGGGGGAGACCCGTGGCAGGATGGTGTCCTGGAAGCCAGGAGAAGGAATGGGTTGGAGGTGAGAACATCCATTGTGTCCCATGTAACCGTGCTCAAGCAAGAGTTGACCCTGTAATTCTCTGTGACCTTGATGGGTCCTTGGGGCAGTGCAGGGCCACAAACCTGGTAAATCCAAGCGGGACTAGGGGAGAGAAAGGAGGTGGCAGGGGAGAGTACTCTGGGCCTCAGAGGAGCTGCTGTGGGTGCTACGGGCCCCAGGCCTGTGTGTGCGGGTCCCCGAGCTGTGGCCCAGCCCCTTCTTGCTGGGGGCTCAGGAGAGGAGCCGAGTCTGGGCCGGGCCCACCGGCAGGTGGCCAAGTCACCAAGATGTAGCAGCAGGCAGCGTGCTGGGTCCTGGGGCTCGAAGCTCCAGGATGACCTCTTGAGTGTGTACGTGTGCTACTTCTGGGCTACTAGGGTGCACTTGGTCCTTCCCTCTTAGAGAAGAAACAGCAGAAGGCCCATGTGGTTAATCTCCAGCTCCGAAAGGAAATGCCAAAGCGGTGAGCGAGAGTTAACGCAGCTTGTGGTGGTGCTGGCGCCTGCTGGCTTCCTCCAGCCACAGTTCCCATAGCAAAGGCAGGGGGTGACAGGAGAGAGGGACAGGAGTGTGCTCCACCCTGCTGGCCAAGAAAGGAGCCTCCATCCACCGTGTGTCCTAGAATCTCACAGCCATGTGTTTGCGTTCTTTGTGCCTAGAAAATCTTTGAAACGGTGATCCTGATCAATACTAGCAGTTGAATAATTATTTTCTGTCAGCTTATTTTCTTGCCACACTACTGTGCATATGTGATACTTTGTACATTTCAACAGCCATTTATATAGAAATCAAATTGCCAAGCCTCATTCTGACTTCAAAGAATGAAAGTATTTTCCAACCATCAAATCAATATTTCTGCTGAGTGTTTTTTCTGCAGTGGCACGGATAGAACCCGGGGCCTCCCACATGCTAGGGAAGTGTGGTGCCCCTTTGCCACACTCTACCCCAATAGCTCGGATTTAAATGTAATAGACAAATAGAATGGTCGCTAGAGGAGGAAGTGGAGATGCTGTCTGTCCTTTTACCATTTTTTTTCTTTTTTTTTTTTTGGTACCAGGGATCAAACTCAGGCCCTTGTGCTTGCCAGGCAAGGGACTATGCCACTGAGCTAAATCCCTGGCCCTCGTCTGTCCTTTTAGATGGGGGAGACTCGGTCTATCCACAAACTGATGCAACTGAGTGAATAGATGGTAAGAAGGAAGGTGCAGATTTGGGAGATGGAACTGCAGAGTGGGTGACAGGGTGGCTCAGTCCCTGTCCCGGAAGGGCTGGCCTTGGCCAGGCAGGGCGCTTGCTCAGCTCAGGACAGGAGTCAGAGGCGGCGTGGAGCTGGGAGGTGAGTGGAAGTGGCACTGGGGCCGGGGGAGTCCTGTTCTGATCACCCATGCTCTTGGTGAGGTGGGAAGTGGCTGCGTGGAAGGAGGGAGGAGGAGTTGCAGGTTTGGGGAGAGAAGCGAAGGCCTGAATCATCACCTGGGGCATGGGTGGAGGAGAGCCGTTACAGGAGCATGCATGGCTTCGTCCTGCCCTGCCGTGTAGAGAGCGTTTCCTCCAGCTGGTGGGGAGGTGGGGACTTGGCGTTATCTAGGCTGGGGCTTCATGGGGCGGGGGTCTCAGAGCCAGAGGGTAAAGGGTAGAGGGGTCAGCACAGGAGTGGCTGATCACCAGCAGTGGAACAGAGGGGACAAGGAGGGAGGACACCAGGGGACAGGAAGTGCTGCGAGCTCTGTGCTTCAGGACTGCAGGTCTTGGGGCGTAGGGTTGTTGGAATTGGGGTGCCAAGGGAGTACGCTGGGCAGTGAGAGGATGTGGTCTGAGTTGCCCGGAGTGGGAATGAGCCGAGGCTGCAGCTCCATGGAGAGCGCTTGCCTAGCATGCAGCAGACCCTGGTTTCAGTCCCCCAAAAAGAAAAAGTGGGCCTGGCAGGGCTGCAGGCGTGGGGAGGGACAGGGTTCAGGGCAGAGCTGGGGGTGGTGAGACAGGAGGAGAGGTGCCCAGGGCCTGGGAAGCCAGGCTGCCAGCCCAGTTTCGCTGGGAAGGGCCCCCGCCGGGGCATTAAGGACAGGGAGGAAAGGTGAGAGAGAGCAGGGAGGAACAGAAGAACGAAGCATCTGTCCTCACAGTGAGCACCGAACTTAGGGTCTCTGGGTCTCCCCCTGTGTACGCATGGGCATCAGCTCAGCGACACAGCTTTTGGAGCCTGCAGCCCTGAAGCCACTGCCAGTCTGAAGGCCAGCACCTGCTGAAGGACACTGCCCAGAATGTAAACTTTCCCTGTATTTGACCTCATGGAACTGTGTTTAGCACTGAAAATTTGCAGGTGAGGTGGTGTAAGAAGTGTGAACCTTCAGGGGACAAGATACACAGGCCTCACCCGACCCCTCCTGTGAGCCTCCTGGGCCCACAGGAACCCTCACTTTGCATGGTGTCCCACGTGGCTGTGCCTCCTTGGGGACCCGTGGCCGGCAGCACCTCACTGTGCTGGGGATTGGCTGTGTTTGCTCCCACAGGATGCAATCATCTCTCCTAGCTTCCCTGCCCTTGTGTTGCCAGGTTCTGGGGGCCTGTGGGCTCTTTCCAGAGATTCTTTCCAGGTTCTTGTCCTGAACAAAGAACTGGATAAGACAAATGAAGCTTTACATTCATGAAAGGTAGGAAGAACGTGTGCTCTGCAGAGTGACAGCTGGCCACTGGGAGATCACAATGGCCACAAGGTCAGTGGTGGACGTCTTCTGTGTCACTCATTCTTTAGGCTGACATCAGACTCGCTTGATTTCACAACAGAACTGAAGACAGCGCTTCCTGATTGGCCCCAGGTGCAGGGCTCAGGAACTGTTTTTCTGCGCATGTGTTC